CTGTTAGTTCTCCATATATGTGGCCAGTTAGATATTCTAAAGAATCGTTTAACAAATTTAAACAAACATATGAATTCTCACGAAATACTAAAGAGTTGTATTACAAGACACATGCAGTTGCTTAGGTTTGATATATGATAGTGTAATCCATACGAAATATTTTATCAATGCTTCATCATATGTCTAATACGAATTATCTTTTATAGAGCCATTGATATTATTGAAGATACGTATAATGTAATACTTCTCTTTTTATTCATATATTTTGCAATGCTCTTCGCTTTTTATGGTTTCCGGATAATTTCTGTAAGTATTTTTAGCTTATGTGATGTAATTTACTAAAGTAAATTAATTTTTGACTGTAAGAAAATATTTAAAAAATATATTAAAAACTTCTATTATATATTTACATTATATTTTATCTTAAATTTCTGAATTAATATTAATGTCTTTTGCCTTAACTTATAAATTAATCAGCTATTTAACGAAGGAAATAATATATCATTCCCTCAATTGATGTTTTTTGCATCTACTATAATTAATTTATTTGCACATATGTGCCTATATTGTGCTCTTGGAGAGATTTTGGTTGCCCAGGTTAGTTAAATATTTCTCTTTTTTTGCTGTAAAAGACATGTTAATTTTACGTTAGATAATTAATTTATCAATTACTATATACATGGTCTGTGTCAAAAATGAATAAGACTAATTCTCGAAAAATCGTTTTATTAAAAATACTAAATATTTACTAAATATTTTTCACAGTAGGATCCTTGAGCGTCAATACAGCGTTTCCAGCGTTGCTGCCACTTTTCGTAGCAGTGCAGGAAATCTTGACCGAACATGCCTTCCAGAGCACTCGTCGCGGCTGCTTGGACCTTTTTAATCGTCCAAACGTTGTTCGATATCGACAAGGATCCTACTGTAAAAAATAATAAGTGTATTTTCAATAAAACAGTTTTTTCAGAATTAGTCTCATTAACTTTTGGAACAGACCATGTAAGTATGTATAATTTACTCAAAAAGTATTTAATTTATAATGTACTTAAGCCCGATTGTATCAACTTTATTTTGATTTTAAGAGTGCCTTAAAATTCTCTTCCATTCTCTCTCTCTCTCTCTCTCTCTCTCTCTCTCTCTCTCTCTCTCTCTTAAAGTTTTAAAGAACACAGACAAAATTTTAAGTCTTGCTTAAAATTAAAATAACGTTAGTGCAAGCCTGAATCTAATATTTGTCATGCATCAAAAATTTAACATTAATTCCTATGTATAATACAAAACTGTTGACTTTATTTAATTTCCATTGAGTTAACTATCTAAGTATATAATTTTCGTCTAAAAATACTTTTAATATTTACAGTGCAATAGAATATATTATGCAGCGTATAGCAATAATTGGTACACCATGAATGCGAAAGTAACTCAAAATTTGTTACTTTTAATGATAAGAGGCTCTAAACCGGTCTACCTTACTGCTGGAAAAATATTCCCTATAACGATGGCAACATTTTGTAATGTAAGTGTTGTTGTAATGTTTGACTAATTATTAAAATTTACATATTTGAAAAATATGTAAATATTATAAAATATTTTTAAATTATAAAAATATTTTTATACAACAATTATTTATATTAAAATATTTAAGTTTACTTAGATTTACAATATAAAATTTAAATCAGTTTTATTTGATCTTTAAACAAATGACAAAGGCAGTTAAGAGTCCCACGCAGTTCTTGGTGCGTATATATTCTTGATTTATTCCAAAATTCTTTACATTAAATCCTTCGCGAACGTTTCGGCTTCTATCAAGCCATCTTCAGCGCAGATTAGTTATCATTACAGTTATA